AACCAAACACGCTTTTATTTAGTTTTGATTCAAGCAAACAAGGTCAGGTACATTACATGACCGCAGTATTATACAGTTCTATAATGTACTCAGTATGAAATAGCCAAAAGATGACGTTCAGAGATTTTTGGCGGGGGTCTGTATAATGAATATAGCATTGAACCTATCAAAATTAATGTCAAAAAATGCAACAAGTATATTACGCATACATAGGATACAGTTACATAAATCACGATTAAAAACTGTTAGTTAAAGGTAGACATTTTATCAAAAAATGATGATGATGAAATTGATATAGATTTTAATATTGAGAGAGAGATTTATAATATACATAAAAAAGAATTAGACGAAATTCAAGAATTAATCAATAAACTTGATATTAAAAATCCTTTTACTGCAGAAGAATACATTTAATATGATGATTCAGAAATTACAACAGATATAAAAAGATTTTAAAGGTAGTTTTTTCAAATAATGATGATAATCAGGAGAAGGAAGCAGAAGATTCAGATCTCTTATCACCTATTACTCATAATAAAGTTATCAATTATTATAATAAAGTAATTTTCTATTTAGAACAAGAAGAAAAAATTTTCAGTTCAAAACATGAAAAACTGAAATATATTAAAAAGCTAAAAAAAGAAGCTTTTCCGCAAGGTAAACTGATCTTAATAGTTTTATTAATGTAAATTAATTTATATAATACATTGTAATACATAATATTTCTATAATAATAATAATAAATTGTAATATGAATATGATCTACACTTAAAATTACTTTAAAATTTAATTTGACTTCTTAAAATTTATTATAGAAATATAACGAATAATTCGTTATATAATACACTAAATATTCGTTATACTATACCAAATAATTTGTTATAATATTAACAAATTTTTTTATAGCAAAAGCCTGATTAGTCAAACTACTAATTTCATTATATCGAGAGCTGATTGTAATAAAATAAATAATTTTAAAAATCAAATAAGTCAATTAATAATAATAAATATTAACAAAAAATAAATTTAAAAAATAATACTGAAAATAAATTTAAATATAAAAAATAAATACTAAAAAATAAATTTAACTTTAAAAAAAAATAATACTAAATTAATTATACATTAAATATCAAAATACATATATGTATTTATGCATGTAGCATTTATTAACAAATCTTATATATAAGGAATAATATAATATTATGCATAATAATAATTAATTTAAAAATTGATTTACTAAATTTTTTTACAATTTTTTTTTAAAAAAAATAAAACTTTTTTTTAAACTTTTTTATTAAAAATTTTTAAATTCTTTTTATATATAAAATGTTTAAATATACAATATTAGAAGAAATTGAAATAGCATATGCAGGATCTGAAAATGAAACTAAAGAAGAAAGCTTGATAAAAAGAAATATGTTAAGAAAGATTTCTTAATTAATAATTAAGAGAAGAAAATGTAAAAGCTGAACTATCAAGCAGAATAAGATCATAAATACAAGTAGATGCTCTATTTTCAGCCTGAACAAGATCTAAGATAACTGAAAATGCAAGATTAAGAAAATAAAAATCTTTAGAATCGATAATAGTTAAACAAAAAAAAATTCTAAAAGAATAACAAAGAATTAGTAAACATAAGAAATATATTACAAAAAATGAAAAATTAGTAATTAATTTTAAAGATAAAATATTACAATATAAATAATTATATAAAAAATAGAGTAGAAAACAGTAGATATAAATTTGAAAGAATGAACAATATTTGTGAATAATGTTATGCTTTAAAATAAAAAAATGAGACAAAAGATTCTGTTGTTTAAATGGACAGATCATTTTAGCATTCTTCCTTTCAACCTTACAAATTTTATATAATTTACTTATACAAAATAATTTAAAATTAGATGAACTTTATGTAACTCAAATTAGAACTTATAATCAGGTTCTTACATTCATATCTTTAGGTGTAAAACTTGACAAAAAAACTTGCAAATGCTAAAATGGAGATTTACATATTTAAAATTCAAAATGAATTATATCATCAGATTGGTGGTCTAATGCTAAAAGATAATGATCAAAAACTAACATTTACTCAGAATTATTTTTATGATTTAAATATGAATAATCAATTTCAAAGAAGACAAAAAATATTTTTAGATTTGAATGCTGAAATACTTAAAGAGTTACAAAATGAATTATTAGAGAATAATCAATCTATTTATTAAATAATTTGTAATCTTAAGAGCTAAAGCCAAAAATGTATCTAATAATTCACAATAAATAATAATCATTTATAATACACATGACAAGAATATGAGACAATATAATAAACCAATAACATTAAAAGTTACAGTTCTTTTCTGTAACTATGACATTTAACCTAAATCTTGAGATATTGTTATTTAAACTTATAAAAGATAATTAAAACATATCTCTGAATTAAATAGTGCTTATAATCTATTATAATATCTTTTGCTATTTCTTTATGATAAATATAAATGATATAATAATATTTTAAGAGCAAATGTAATTGAATCTATATTTAAATTTGAATTTCAAATTGAAGATAGAATGCAAATTAAAGAAGAAATTATACAAAATATTAGCCATTTTGAAGCAACCCAATTTTTTAAAAAACTTGATTTAGAATCTGTCTTAACAAAAGATAAAAGTAAAAATAGAGCGTATACATCAGATAGAGAAGATAATAAAGTTAATTTTATTATTCTTGATGATGATAATAATAATGAGAAAATTAAATCTGTAGATAATGATGATTAGGAAATTAAACCTGTAGATGATAAAAAATTAGAAAATTAATTAAGAGAAAAAAAAAAAGGATGACAATTAGAGAATTTGTAGCATATTGAATATAAATTAGGAATTCAAATAAAATAAAAGTACATTATATTTTGCTAGAAGATTATTTTAATAATATTTAGTAGATCAATATGCTAAAGATGAATTAAAATTATTTGAGATAATATAGAAAAATATATTATAAAAGTGAATTATATTTAGGTTTACATAATATTATCACTAATGAAGATTTTTATAAAGATAAGATTGGAAAAAAACAATCTTATTATCTTTATTTATTGAATCAACTAGATATATATAACAAATGTATCAAAACTTTATGATAATTATTAGAGAATATGAAAATCTGATTTATTTACAATTTCAATTAATCAAAAATTAACTGAATTCTTGTCAAATTAATAAGCAAATAATCAGTTTGATATTATCACAAGGATGTTTAAATTAAATTAAAAAAAATCACTAATAATCTTTTTATAAAAGATATATTTAGTAGAGTTATTACTTATATATATATGATTGAATTATAAAAAAAAGGATTGTTACATGCATATATTTTAATGATCTTTTCAGTTAAAGGTAAATTAAAATCACCTGAAGATTTTAATAAGATGGTATATACAAAAATTTCAGATAAAGATTTTCAACCATTATTATGATACAATTACCAAAAATATGATCCATAGACCTTGTGAAGACTTGAATTCTGAATCTCTTTGCATGATAAATGACAAATATAGCAAAAATTATTATAGAGATTTTGCTGAAAAAATAATTACAAACAAATGTAGATATCTAATATACAGAAAAAGAGACAATGAAAAAAAAAATCAAAAAAGAAAAACTTAATATTGATAATAAATATATTGCATCTTATAATCTTTATCTTTGTCAAAAATATGAATATCATATTAAAATTTAAGATATATTCAAATATCTATTCTGTAAAATATCTTTATAAATATATTTACAAAGAACAAGATCATATAATAATATCTATCGAAAGCTTACAAGATGAAATTACAAAACATCTAAATATAAGATATATTTTGTTATTAAAACATCCTGAAGATTATTTAATTTTAGTTTATAAGAAAGATCACATAAAATTGAATAGCTTTCAGTTCATTTGCCTAATCAACAAAATGTTATCTTTCAAGAAAATGAAGATATTTTTAATATTTTAGAATAATCCTTAATATAAAATTAATCCATTATTTTAAAATGTGCACAAATAATTAAATAATTTGAATATAAGTAATTTACGTTATGTTAATTTTTTAAAATACTTAACCTGAAAAAATGGAAACTGTTAATAAAAAAAAAAGGTGGTGATAAAATAATTTCACGAATATATACTTGCAGTTCAAGAGATAAGAAAAGATTTTATTTAAGAATTTTATTATCTCAAATTTACTAACATTAAAAATTATAAAGTATGTATTACATAAGATCAATATTGAATTTTATTAATATAATTTTTATTTATAAGTAAACTATTTTTATCATAATTATTTTATTATAGGTTACTATTATAAAAATCCTTAAATTAAATATCATTATTTGATATAATTTATAATTTTATTATTATAAGAATAAGAGAATGATTATTTAAAGATAGTTTGTATTTTTATATCATATAGCTAACTATAATTTTTTATTGCTTAAGCTTCAATCATTGAATTTACATATTCTTTTTAATTAAATTCCTGAAAAATAACAGATGGGTAACTATTATAAATAAGATATAATGTCATAATTAAATGACTGATATGTCCATTATTATCATAGAATAGGTGAATATGATTGAAGATTTTAAGTAATCGACATGCGATCAAAATAAGGTAAATGTTTTTATTCTTAATGCTGTCATTGTGAAATTATAAGAATTTTTTCATCAATGCAATCATTTCTAATTCATACTAAAAAAATAAAAGTCTAATCTTAATAAGCAAAGAATTATAAAATAGAACTTATTGGATAAATAATCAAATGGTAACCTTGTACTTGCATTGATACTATTCAAAACTTTTCTGCTTCTTAGATACTACTCTATATATTAATTTTCTTATAAGGAGCATCTTTTAATAAAATGTAATAGATTCTTTTAATCTCATCAATGCTTACTTTCTGTTCTAAATTAAACAATTTATTATTTAAATAATAAGTTGCAAGTAAATGGTTAAGGATTTTAATGACCTCATTTTCAGATTTATCAGAAAGAAATCTTGCATCAGGTAGCTGTATTTTTCAGGTTCTAAAAGATCATCAAGATTATAAGAATTTTGGCAAAGAATCTAAGATTTATTGTATACTATAATCATTCAAATAGATGAAAGTAGTCCTTCTAAACCTTTTCTGAAGCATCAAATTCATAATATTCCTTTGAATTTCCTTAAGTTTTGAAAAAGAAGGAGTGTAAATCTATGAGTAAAGTAAGTTAGTAATATTATTCAAAATATTTATAAAGCAAGGTAAAAAAAATTTCTTTCAGTAAAGCTTGTTAAAGTTTTTTTTAAAAAATATTATCTGATTATATATACTTTTTTGCATCTAAAATAGATTAATTCTTTTTTTTGCTTTCTTTTCTTTTTTTCCATTAAGCAGCTAAAAAAACTAAAAAAAATGACAACTGTAGAAAAAGGCGGAAATACACAACATTTTAAAAAAATGGTTATTAAATATAAATTAATTGTCATATAGATTGATCATTTTAAGTTTTTAAGGCTTAATTAAATTATTAAACTTAATTAAGTTTATTTATTAATATATTGCAAAAATGATTTATTATTATATATTTATAAAAGATCAATTTACGATCAGATTTCTCAAATTTTTTAATATCTGCTTATTAGTTATATCTTATATTTCACCTAATAAATCATTTAAAATTTCTTATATCACTTAATTCCATATTATCAAAATTATACCATCCAATTCAATCTTCTCTTGTATTATAATTTCATTTTGTTCTTGTTTTAAATGCCATGAAATTTTTGCTAATTTACCAGATCTTTCAGCTGTTAATCGATTTCGTTTTGCTGTATGAATATTAGATAATACTGACCAAATGCTTTCAGATACTGCAGCATTGATATTATTGCAAAAAGCCGTTGTGCAAATACACTTAATTTCTTTTATACTTTGCCAAAATTTCATAGGATTAATTATAAATATTGTTTATTAAAAATTCCTGTTCTGTTTTGATAAGCTAACCATCCTTCTAAAAATGCATTAACATTATAATTTAGATAAATTTTTTTGAATAACTGATATCATACATTAGATAGTTAGGATCATTTGATGGACGATTATTTAGGTTTGTTGTAAAGAAAGGTTTTTACTTCTGATAAGCACACGGTAAATTTGTTGTCAGTAATCGATTTTCGGCATTTGTTAACAACATCGTCCGTTTAAATTTACTCTGAACAAAGAACAAATACTGAAGATTTTTTTTAAAAAAAATTCAATGAAATATTTTTTATAATAGATTCTTTGTATTATGATAATTAGATTGAACAAGTACCTTATTAATGGTTAAAGATTAAGGTACAGAATATATACAGTATGTATTAAAATTCGGTTATATATTTTCTTTTCTATATTTATATTCGATCATTAATTTTTGAAACAAAACATTAATAATTTCAAATTCTAATAAAAAAAAAATAATTTACCCAAAGAAAAAAGAAAGTTTTAAATTAAATTTATGGTATTTATACAATAAGAATTATAATTAAAATTTTTCAATTTTTTTTTTTTTTTTGTTGAGTTCGTTAAAAATACGAGCTCTTGAAATATTTGCACAGGGTCTTTTGAATGCGATATCACTGATGCAATTTTCGACTTAGCTAATGTAATTTATATGAAATTGGTATTGAAAATTATTACGGTCGAGCAAAAAATTCTAGCTTCTCGCGTCAAGTTTTTATGATGACGTAGAAAAAATATTTAAAAGCAAATTTAAAAGAAAAAAAAAAAAAATCCGGGAGCTCGTTTCACGAGAATCAAAACTAATTAATTATTTTTTTTTTTTTTTTGGTCCGGCCTTAAATATACAATTTTATAAATTAAGATATTAATACCATCCACCCAATAACGAAATAAAATAAGAAGAGAGGGTATACGGCCAATGCTCGACGATTTGCTAAATGTGAAGCGGAGAGGAAGTTTACAGATGCTAGATGGCAATAATAAATTAGATTTTATGAAGTTTTCAAATCATATTCAAGCAGATCCTTAATAAAACTTACCGTATGATGACCATCCGAATGCAATAATTACAAGTGGCAGCCTTATATAAATTTTGCTTACAAAAATGTTTACAAACGCAACGAGCACTAATGGAAAAATACAATAACCTAGAACACAAACGCTCTGGAAAAATGAACTGCAATTAAAAAAATAAAAATATTTAACCACGGTCGATTCAAATGAACCAGATTTTAAAGCATTAACCATTAACATACACAGTGCCTCTTAGTAATTTGGCGTTTATCGTCACAATAGCAGATCCACACCAAACGATGACAAAAACACTGGTGAAAACCATAACTTGTTGATCTTTATGTGCAAAGCTCAACATTCTATCATAAAATTAAACAAAAGATCGTAAACGTTCGTTCTTGCTTTTAAAAAGAATAGCTTTCTAATATTGGGAAAAAAAAAAAACTTACATGGCTAAAGCTAAACAAAGAATCAATGGACCCCATAAATCCCCTATTTAACAATAAAGAAAGATAAAAATCGTTGCTCACTGTCAAATTTATAGTATAATTATAGAAATTGGATAAGTTTAAATACAAAATAAATATATATATATATACAGTCTCTTAATACATCTCTACGTCCTTTTGGATGAAGAACTTGTTGTAACTTAATTGCCACATTCCTCAAATCACGAAGCTAATACACAGTATTCAAGTTGTTAATTGGAGATTATTTAACGACAAACTGAATCAATTCATTTAAGGCTTGAACTTACAATGGTTTCTGAAACTGGCTCGTCAAGAGTATCGCTAGCGTAAGGCCTGGGTTGTTGACCAATCGATCCTGAAACGGGTATTGGCGTTTGCTCAATATTAATGGTAGTTGTGCTTTTAGGAATTGGACTTTTCGCTTTGGCTTGAGTTTTAATGGTATCAGGGGTCGAAAGATCAACATCGTCCGGTTCGATTGTTGTATGAGGATCTGGCGAAGAAATATCGTCCGAAATTTCAAAAGGATTGACATATGTATCTCCATTGGTATTATTGTGGAGAGGAGACTCGCTCTCTGACAATGGTGAGAGCGGCATGATTACTTTATCTATTCATAAACGGTTATAATTCGAACAGATTGGCTTTGGTTTTAGGTTCAGAAGGTCAATTGCAAAGAATAACGACGTCCATTATCTCAAGTTGAACTTACTCTAACAAGTCCTAAGATAAAAACTTTGATATTATTGCCGAGTTTATCAATAACTTGGGTTTTATTTACAAAGAAAAAAAAAATTCGAAATGAGACCTCGAAATTTTAATCATAGTATAATTTGAACAATTTCTAACTTTTATATGCCACTTAACAAAATTTGATTGGCAAATTTAATGCCCGTGCAGATTTGTACGATAACAAAATTATGCATCTTTTTATAATAATAGATCTTAAAAAAATTTAGTCAAACCTTGTAGTAACCTTATTAAAATGATTAGACATTTCGAAAGTAATTTCAATCTCTCTATTTTTATTATGCCGTATAAAGAGATTATGCTTGCTTACTTTTGCTGTATTTTGTAGTTTTTACAGTTGAGCGTCGTCTGGTTCAAATTTCTCAACTTTCTTCTCTAAAAGACACTCGTCTTGGAATTGACGGTACACATTGGCTTAGGAAACTTTTGCAAACCTCTGCAAAGGAATCTGCGACCACGGCACTAGGCGGAATACCAATTGGATTACGATCAGCAATAGAAAAGGAATTAGAATTAATCAAGTACGTCTCATTTTTTTTTTTTTTTTTTTGATTTCCAAATTTTTGCTTAAAAAATTTTTTGATATCCGTAGATCATACGGAATTACGCCAGTTTTTGTGTTTAATGGACTTAATATAATTCGAAAAGATAAACCATTCTCAACGGAGGATACAAGACCCTCGAAACGTGCTCAAGCTTGGGAAGCTTATGAGAAGGGTCGAGTGGAACAAGCTTACAGTAGCTGGGCATCAGCAGTGTCTGGATTCGTGCATCAACCAGACTTGTTATATCTTGTTTTCAGTATTTTGAAGGAGAATGATGTGGAATTTATGCGTGCTCCTTATTTGGCTTGGGGACAGGTTTGTAGACAACTTTTAATATTTTATCTTGCTTTCTTATTACGTGATAGGATATTTCTATTATCATTTTAATTTTCTGCCAAGTAGTTAGTCGACGATTCGATAGATTTACTTATCGTAATCTCGCTTTTCATTGCTTTTCGATGAAGTGACTTTATAAATTATAGTTACTCCAAGAACAAATGTGAAAGAAACATAACTCACGTCGATTCTGTATCTTTTATAAACAAAAAAAAAATTACTCGTGATATCCACAAGTTAGTGTATTTAGAACGTCATCAAAAAGGATTCATCCACGCAATCTACGGTGGATCTGAATTATTGATGTATGATGTTGACAAAGTTATCATAAACTTGGATTTAGAGGTTCGCGTTATTTGGTTCTTGTAATTCTACTTACTATAATTCGAAATGAATCCCTAACATTTGTTTTACTATACAGAAAGGTACATACTCTTGGCTCAACAAGAAATCAATTTTGAATGACCTTGATATAACAGACGAACAATTTCTTGATGTTTGTATTCTTGCGGGCTTTGAATATTGTATCACCTTCCCGCCTCTTAGTTCCGATTATAGCGGCTTCACCTTTAAAAGTGTTCATGATTTAATTAAGCAATATCGTACTGGATTCAATGCTGTTCAAAGCTATGGGAATCACGCGGGAGTGACCAAACACAATTACGCAGAAGTATATTGTCGCACCAGGTGTGCCATAAAATTTCATATGGTGTTGACAGATGAGGGAAAGGTCGAATCATTGAACCTCGAAAATGCACCAAGTGATATTCATGATGTCATTGGGTATCGTTTACCTGATGAAGTATATTATTATTTATCCAAGGGTTTAATGTCACCTCAGGTTTGTCAATGATAGCTTCGTTAAAATAATTTGTTCAAAAAGAAAATTTACCTTCTCTTTACTAAGCATAATTGCATGTGATCCTTAATAGGTTATTAACACTTTAATTTCTGGTGTCCTGATTGAAAATTCGCCTTTGTGCAATGGAGAAACTATAGAGTATAAAAATTTCCTTGGTCAATTACTTGAGCTCCGAACGCAAGCCATGAGTTTGCTCACGCAGCCTTTGCACCAGTTTTATCAATCTAGGCGAGTTGTTAGTGTCTATTGGTTTGAGCCAGGTAACGAACACCATTTAAACCATGGTGCACAGCCAAGCGTACATGAAACTTTAAATACTTGGAACGTTTTGGAAAGAGGATTGGAAGAAGAGAAAAAGGCGCAAAAGGTAGATCATCGCGTTCCTCGAACGAAACTTTAATCTTGGTTTATTTATTATACTAACGTGAGCTTATATCATATAGACATCCGTTATCGATATTGCTTTCTGTTTGAAAGCAACAGCTACGGAGGATCAGGCTGTCAAAACGGTGATGCCAAAAAACAATGATAAAATTATTGAATCTAAAGATGAAATTTTGGCTAATGTGTTGTGGAAACTTTTGGACCTAAGGAAGTAAGTTATTACATACGTGCTTATATGTATGGAATTCTTGCTTTATTGGACAAATTATACAAAATGGCTAATTATAATGTACTTAGGTTCTTGACTTCATCACATACGCATACTGCGTGGGGTATTGCATTTAAAAAGGCTCTAGCTACATTCAAGCCTAACGTTAGGTCACATCATGAACAATTATTCTCTGCATTAGAATTAATACGTTTTGGATATTTGAATGGTAATAATCTTAGCAGAACGTATTATACATCATCAATCGCTGTTAACGGTAAGACAAATTAGGGATTATGATTTAAAGTTATTATTTCATTAGTCACATTAGTAACATATCCCCCCAAAAAGATGAGGAGAAAAGACATATCCTCCTCCTTTCAAGGACTCTGAGTTTAATCCCTGCAAAGTTCAAGGTTAATATCTAATGTCTTATTCATTATGTTTTATATAACAGTACATTTTCTTATCTGGTTATTTGTCATATTTTTTTTCTATATTAGGGAGTTTCTTGGAATGGACCACTTAGCCGAGAGCTTTTAGCTTTTAATAGCTTTGTAAGAGCATTGAATCGTTCTTTGCGAAATTTGTGTGAAATGTTAACTTTATCAATGTTTCTTAATGGGGATTGTGTTAGAGATAGACAGGATCTCCTTGAAATCGCTTTAAGGTTTGATAAATATTTTTTATTTATGTTTATTCTACATACCTTTTAATGTACGTATTTTATTTTTTTTCCAGTTTACCATTCTTGTATGATGCCAATACAGGAATGGGAATAATCGCTAAAACGTACCTTGAAACTGTAATTAAGCTATCAAAAGATAATGATAGCAAGGGCTCAACGAGATCACACGTATCTGAAGCGTTAAAGAAACTCGATGAAACTTTTACGGGGTGCATAAATGTGAAAGTAGATTTAGAGAATGGACTTGCATTTTGGGATGAGGTAAATTAATATGAACTTGGTTTTACATCACATAATTTTTGATATCATTAAATTTGATCGTTGTACATTCAGGTTATGATCGCGATAAATTCTCTCAAAGCAAGTGGGGCTATTTCTAATGAAACTGCATCGCAATTCATAAACACGAACAATTGGTTATCTTCTAGAAGACCATAAAAGATGAGGTATTTCAAATGGAAAATTTTTTTTTTGATCAATTTTTGGTAAAGTTTTCATGAACAACATCATTTCCATTGTTAAATGTCGAATTAGTTTTATCAACTAATCATCAGTTTTAGAATGTTTAAGTAATTCTTCGAATGCTCCATTGATATCTTTATAATTTCCTTCAACGCAAAATCCATTCCATCTTTCAACAAACACTAATTTTGACAACATTGCTTTTTGATTTCTAGTCTGTTCAAGCGTTAACAATGCAAAATATAATTGTTGAAAAATTCTGGGAAATAAATTAAATAATGATTGAGTATTCTTACGTTTACGTGATGATAAAGAATTTGATGAATGTAAATTTATAAGTATTGAATGTAACTAGAAAAAAAAGAATTAAACAAATTATTAAGTAATGATTAAATTATTACGCAACTTACTATACTAATCAAATTTATAACAAATCAAACTTACCTTTTCAACCCCAGCATTGGCTTTCTTGATCACCCCACGCCTAAAATTAATAACCTTGGCATCATCTTTTGTGAACTTGATTTGACTCCAATAAATCGAATTATTTTCAAAGTGCTTTGCTTCTCCGAACTTACATTTATTAAGTCTCGTACAACAATCCTGTACAACTATGAATATATTGTCTGCTTCCACAATATTTTTGAGGAACCCCTGCTCAAACAAGCTAAAATCTTCGGGATTTTCACTTATCATAACCCAAGAGGGTTCGATCCAATTACCCATCATAAACCTGCCAGTTTTTGCCATTTCTCGATAAACGTTCCAACATTTCCATACATTCGTAATCATTTGAACGCTTTCTTTCCAAAGTAAGGGAATTGGGTGAAAACGAGAACGATAGTTAGATATCCAAGTCTCATAAAGTTTTATCTCATTAGTCGTCGAGGATTGACAATCTCCTTTGATTATATTATCTTGATGGGTTAATGGTATATTTATATTTGTTTTATACTTATTCCATAATACTATTAAAAGTCCCATGAAATAATTACATAAGGGATTGGATAGATTGAATGATTCCGAAGAAATTAAATGATTTGTTTCACCGTGAGCTACACGATCTCTTAGCCTAGGTCCACCAGCATGAACAAATAGATCAAGGAGTAAATCCTTTCATCACCAAAAGTGTTATGTTAACAAAAGAAAAAAGAAAAAAAAAAGAGATTGGTACAAAGCATACCATGACGTCTCCTCCGAATTCCGAATAAATCTCATTCATTTGTTCCTCATCCTTCTTCACTTCTTCAATCCCGCAAAAAGCTCTAGCAACCTTTTCTTCTAGAATAATATCTAGTGTCAGAAAATATTCACCAACTTCCACGGTACCCATTCGATGAGATTGCACATCTTTGTTCACGCAAACGTAAATCCTTCTTAGACAATGTTCAAGAAGCGGTAATACAAGGATGAAAGATAACAACACTTGATCATTGGATAAATGATGAAATGCACGTAACCAGGCTGAATGAGATTGTGAGATTACAAAGAAATTTCTAAATAGCAAAGTTTCCAGGATCAGCAGATGAGAATCCTGTGGAGGTATCGCTTTTTTTTTTTTTTTTGGAGCGTGATAATGAAAAACGCGTTAAACCTACGTTTCTCAAATTAAATACTGGTAAGAATAAAAAATGTCGTCAACAAACCGTGTCCATACATCACGCGTTCGTATAGTTGATCAAAATCTTCTTTGATCGAATCGTATGCGTGCTTGTCATCAGTTTTGTCAACGTGTTGAGTCAAATAGTAATACCCATCCAAGCTCACCCCATCTCTTTTCTTCAATAAAACTATCACTCCCTTATGTCTTACTTTATTGCAAACATTCATGGTAATAGTTAACATGAGCGAACAATACCATTTAGCTGGGATTGGTAAAAACTCATGAGGATTAATGAAACCATGCCAAAGTACATTTCTTAAATTCATCGAACTTGGAGGTCCAATTATACACCTAAGAAAAAAGATCATATCTTCTCCAAAAATTGAAACGAGAGATGGCGCTATGAGTAAATCACGAAGAAGTGAGGGAATAAAGGATGAATCGTTATAAAGGGAATAAATGATCTAAGGAAATAAATGAGGGTATGGTCCAAACAAATGGACAAAATGGATTGGATAAAAAGCTTTGAATGACGCCGTAAAAGTTCATGAGATAGAATTGACAATGGATAACTTACATCACCCAATATTCGCTCCAAATTCGATATTACCATCAATAAAACTGTAAAATAATCTTCTTCAAGATACAGTTCAATACATTTTTTATACACCTAGTTAAGAATGAAAAATGTCCCTTGATCCGATCGACTTATAATATTTGATGAATTTTATTTAAAATACCGAAACTTGAAAAAAACATACACCATAATCTTCACACCACTTCAGTTCATCATGATACAAATTCAAAAAGTCATTTGTGGATATTATGTTAAAATCGAAAAATTTCGAAATTTGACGCGCAATAGATTTTATTATATTTGACGCTTTAGTGAAAGGTTCCGCTTCTAAAGTATCATAGGGAACATTGTCTAGTTGACAAATTAAAGGGGCAAAGATGATAAAGCAGAAATCAAACTAAACAAAAAGAAAAAAAAATACACATAAAACACTGTATAATTGTAATAAAATGAAAAAAATAATTCACGTACCATTCCGCAACCCTACAAACACACTTTCTTTAAGTAAACCTTTCTCACATATTACAGAGCTATTATTATTATCTGATAAAACCAATTCCTTAAAACTTTTATTACATTCGTCTTCAAATAAGAGCAACTGTCTTACGCGAAGACTCAGACAACTTTGCCAGGTGTTTAGAGTAGCCCTAACTTCTTCTTTTCGTATAATATCATTCGATTGTAACTCTTTACCTAACCAGAAACTCGCAATAAGGCTATTTGAAAATTTCGTCATTATTTGAAATGATTGGAATTTTTAAAAAATATATCGCGTTCTCGTGACTTGACCGTGAACATTCTGTGATGGATGTTACACGATGGATTCGGCTGTCGATCACATGAATAAGACGTAATCCCATGCGTTAAATGCGTCAAAAAACCATAAAAAATAATTTTCCTTATAACTTTTCTCTTTGCAATGGCTCAAGTTGCAGTACCACCGATCATAAATTCCCAAGTACCAACAGACGAAGGTGGTTATATTGAAGAAAGTTATTTAAGTACTTTAACTAGACGCTTTGGTATAAGATCACCGGCACAACAATTTAATAATAGTAATAATAATAATAATGCAACGCGAGTAGTATTCGAGCAACAACAAGGTCAAGAAGAAGTTGAGGATGCTTTATCTGATATATCTGATTTTGATGAGGAATGGGAAGAACTTGTTCAGCAAATGCAACAGGTTTTAGTTGCTTTCTTACTTCCTTGGTTAGGACGTTGGTTAGGCAGAAAATTCTCTTTTTGGGGTGAGTAATTAGTTTCTTTTCGTTTCGTATGAGAACTTTTTTTTGTAGGCATTATTTAATTCTTTATCAAATTATCTTTTTTTTGATGTAGCATGGACAAGGTTCGTTAAATGGTATTATTATCCACGTATCGCTGATAAAGCCAAACCTGATTATACAGAGATTGCCATAATTGAGGGGAAGAAATAAAAAAAAAAAATCTCATTTCAACGTTTAAGGTTATAATGAAGTTTAATGTTTTATTTTCCTTTTTTTACGCGACTAATAGCACTTATAGTAGTAGAATGTCAATTTTTATAGAAACCTAAACTATATTATTAATATCACATTTTAATTTTCTTCTTATCCTTGCAAGATATTTATAAATTTGAGAAAACGTAATTTGATGATGGGAAAGGAGATTACGTGAATTTATAACGTGTTTTTTTTTATATTTTAAATAATTTTAAGATAATCTATTCGAATAGGCGATTCATAATTTGTAACATCACAAAAATAAAATGCTCATCAATTAATTACATTTAACATTTTCATTTTATAAATCTAAAGAAAATAAAGAGAAATTGTTTAAATAATTTCACAGAAGAAATCTCTTTTATTGAATATATAAGAAGGTCAACTGAACATATTCTTGTGACACGTTCAAATTTTAACGTTGAGCGGACCACACACTAGATAAGGATAAGAAAACGTTAAATTACATTGTTAAAAGTAAATTAGAACCCACCAAAGAACAAAGTACTTACTTTTTGAGAACTGTTAATTGAAAAATGAAGCCAAATCAAAACAAAAAAAAATTAATTATTTAGCCAATAATAATATATAATACATATTAAAGATTATTTAATGACTTACATCCATCTTTAGCCGCAAGGCGATTTAGGGAATCATCAGACTCTCCTGAACAACGAACGAAACCACATAAGGCATACGTTACATATTTACCAGTGTAATGACCATTTTCATCAACTTCACCAACGTTTATTTGAACTGAAGCATGATCTTTTGCGGTGATAAGTCGATTGGTAGCTGAACTATATATTGTTAAATAATAGAAGAAGATTTTTTTGGTTAATCTATTTTGATCACTTGATTTCGATTTCATTTAATCCATTTATTATTATGAATTTTTTTGAAACAAAAATAAAAATAGTTCTAGTTTTAAAGTTCTTTTAAAAAAAAAATAAAAATAAAATAAAAATGATGCAAATACTTGGATACAGAAATAAAAGAAAACCAACCATTTTCTTGGTTGATAAAGATCAACCTGAAGACCTTCTTCGTTTTCCATTTTTATAGTCTTTAATATGGTTTGTTACAGCGAAAAAAAAAAAAAAAAAAAACTTCAACCTCGCTGAGACTTGAAAGAAAAGAGGAGGAATAAAAAAAAAAAAATAATCGGTTTATATTGAATTATGTTGTACAAGATTTCATGAAGCTTGAATATGACACGTGGCAGTATATATTTATCCAATAATCACTCGAATTTATAAATACTATTTGAAAATCGAAATTTCAAAAAAAAACTTTGAGCTCTTCCTTTCTCTCTTCCTTTAAATTTTTACAAAAAAAAATACCAAATTAAAAAATGACCGGTCTGGTGAGTTGGTTTTTCTTCTCCTTATTTGAATTTTATAAGTAAGGTCTAAATTCCTTAAAATATAGTCGGATTGGGAAACAGGAAAACCTTACGAAACACCTATTTCACAAGTTTTCTTTCCTTTATTGGCATTTTTATTTTTATTATCAGGATTTGTTGCTGCTAGTACTTTTTCTGTGTATCCTTTTATTTGATTTTTCAAAATTGATCCCAAATCAAACGATACGTATTTTTTTTTTTTATCTTTAACCATTTCCAATTTAATATTATAACAGAATAAAAGCAAAAACCTCATTAATACTAGAATTATCTTCGGCTATTCCTGCTTCACTTTCGTTAGGCTTTGGAACTTTATTTTTATTTATGGCTGTTGGAATCTACGTTTAAATTTTAATTTATTATTTCAAGAATAGAATCAGTTGATATTCTTAAAGAAGACAAAAGAGATGGTTGTGTAATCATTAATTAGATTGGCCTATTCACGAAAATTGTATTTAAAATTTTTGCCGTCTTTTTTTTTTTTTTTTGATTTCTTGTATGTTCGGTGCAAAACGTTAATAATTTATCATCAGCTTAGGACAATCAAAACATTTTACAATATATTAGTTCACAAAATTTGATTCAATTTATTAAAGAACACCATGAACATCTAAGTAAAAGTAATAAACTTTTACAAACGAGACCCATACTGATGGATTTTTCAGGAATCACGTATTAGTGGAAAATCGAAGCATTAGCTCAAATTACAAAAATACTTTTTTTTTTTTATTCAAAAGAAAAGAAAATTCATGTTGAATATTTCGCGTTTATAATCATATGGAGTGGTTTGTTAATAATGATATTTATAAAAATATTATTTTTTATGAAAATGGTGAGCGGCGTCTTAGTAATACATTACGAAAATGAAACTACTCATGGTTTGGTCGGATCTAATCCAGCCTGAACAATTTCGACCCAGTAGCCATCTGGATCAGCGATGAACGCGACATTTTTCATCGCTAATTTACAAAGAATCAAATGAGTTCAAAATTTCCTTAAATGTAGATTATTATTCTTGATCCTTACCACCATCCGTCAATTTCTTGATGAACTTAACTCCATTATCATTAAATCGCTTGCAAGCGGCTTCAATATTATCTACAGCAATAGCCAAGTGGCCGAAACCTTTAGGATCGTGATGATATTCAAAGTTTGGATCTAATTCTGTTTTCCAATTACTATATAAAAAAAATATATATTTTACGTGATCAGGTATTAGTCAGACACGGAGAGTCTCTCTAATATAAATAAAAGATCGAATTCTCACTGGGTTAATTCAAGGACTGCTTCTCGTGAAAAAATATACTTGATCCTTTCGTCGGTAGATTCAGGCAAGACATCACGAACATATGCAAGAAAATAAAGCGTAAATTCTTTTTCTGGAAATTCTATTTTATCGATACGTCTTGATAATGAATTAAATTCCATTTGAAATCATTTAATTAATGCAACTTTAATAAATACTACAAGATGATGAATTAAATTGTAATTTATACTTCATTCCTAAAATTTCTTCATAAAACTTGAGAGAAACTTGCGGGTCTTTGACCCTAATCATTGTATGATTCTATAATAATTTATAATGTTACATTATAGGGTTAAATAAAGTTTTAATTTAATTATTTGAATTATAAAAAAATAAACCTACAAAGCGATATGTTGAAATATCGGTGGCCATGGTTGAAAAATGAAATTTGGGAAATTTTTTCACATAAAAACTTTGGGAAAGTTCATATGATTCGCATGATTCGCACGTGATAGTTTTCATCATATGAGATGTTCATCATCACCACAACTCAACAAAAATTTTTTTCGCAACTTTTTTTGATTTAAAAATTTCAGAGACTTCAAAATGTTTATGCAACAAAATAAACCCACACCTGAAGAAAAGGCACAACAACGAAGAAAAACCTGGAATGGCTTTGCATCGTTTTTTTTTACTGTTATTGCTATACGTGTTGGTAAGTTCATTTTAATGATACAATTTTGCTCAATGTTATCTTAAAATAATTTTTTTTTGTTGACATATTATTTATTGCAGCTCCGTTTGTGATTGAATATTCTTCCAAGTTCTCCAAATAGATTTCCACTTTTCCGTTTAAAATTAAAATTTATTTACTTTTATAATATATTCATACAAAATAGATTTATAATCTAAAAAAAAAAAAACAAAAATAACTTTCCTTTTTCGAACAATGAATTTAAGGAATTAACATAACTCTGAAGTGACATATATGGATATGTATAACACGTGTCAAATTTGTCGAAATTTTGTGGGATTTATCATGTAATATAAATAGGTCTTAATTTACTGAGATAAATCTCTTTGTGTTTGTTTGTAATCAAGATATTATTGATCTAGGAAATCTTTGAATTATTGGCTTGAAAAAAAAAAAGCGTTCTCGCACAATCTTCGGTTTGGCGTGTTTGAATTTGTATCACACATGCATCAACGTGATATCAGATGTATGAATTCACAGTAATTAATTCCACCTTTGGACTAAGCTTTCGAAACTTCATTATGATTATTGTGTGGTAATTTACAATAATAATAATTCGGAATCAACCTCCGATTAAATGAAAACTTCGGCTACCCAATATCAGCATGTAATTTCTTGCATCGTTTTTTTGTTTGATTAACTCTATAGTCGGGAAAATTTTCCCAATTTGAAATCAAAAATGGGTGAAAATCAACCCTTTTTTGGTAATTGTTTTGTTGATGGGGCAATGATCTGTTTGTTCAACATCATCTGTGACATCGTATGTGATGATGATGAGGGAGTGTGTGATTAATATTCTTTAATACCTTCTGCTCTTGTAGTTGGAAGAGATTTATTGCGTATCAATGAATTAATCAATCTGTATCTATGCAGCTTTTTGATATTTGGAATCAATAAAAAGATTCATTAAATGAAGTCGAAAGCCCTTTTTTTTATATTTTCGTTAGAGCTCGAAATACAGACTATATAGTCGAGAGAAAGAAAAAATTTACATTTGAATTGCTTATGCAATAAATTAATTTATACATGTTGAATGAAGATTTATTGGATGATTAATAACCTTAATTGTCATCTCTAAATATAAACGGTCCGCTTATCATTTCCTTGTCATCAGAAAAAAAAAATTTTTTTTTTTTCTTTTCCTTTCACCATCTTACCATCTTGCTCACTGATAATTATTCCAACTCTGACCTTCCTTCCCCTTTTTCCCTTTCCCCTTACATTACTTTTCATACTTATCGGCATCTTTTAATTATATTACTTTAAGAGAAACTTGGTTTATACTTTGTATTCATAAAATATATATATATATATATCGTCTATTTTGCAAAAAAAAAAAAAATTTTTTATTTCCCCAATTTCTGATCAAAATACATGATACTTTTCATTTAAAAAAAAAATTATTTTTTTTTTTTTATTTCGTTTTCTTTATTCATCATGTTTTAGTAATTTTGTCAACTAATCTATTTCAAGTATACAAATAGAGTATTTTTAGTTCTTTGTATATATTGATACAATTTTTTTTTTATATTAAAAAGTTTGTAAAGTTCTTTACCTATAAATAACAAACCCTTTGCCCCGACGGCCCTTTCATAACTGGCTAAAAAACTATATTTATGCTTCAAGTGTCTCAGCCAGCTCGATATCCAGTAAGCCACAGGATAAATCAAAGAATTCGAGATATGTCTGCATCCGCTAAGGAGTTCAAAGATATCCTTAATGCTGAGGTTCATATTGATCTTGATAAGCTGAGAGAATCTTCAAGACATGGTATTCCCATGGAAGTCAGAGGGGTAAATATATTGTGATCTTTTGGAAATATATATATTTGTTTTTTTTTTTTTTTTAAAAAAAAAAAAAAAGGTTTTTTTAGACAGGGCATCTATTTTTGTTTTTTTTTTTTTTGTTCTTTTTTGTATTTGTTAGCCTTTTTTCAATATCTAATTATGTTATTTTTCACATCAAGTTAATATCTGCATGATTTATTCTTTTCCATTAAAGGAAGCTTGGAAGTATTTACTTGGAGTAAATCCGGCCGATAGATGTAAGTTGAAATTAGACTGAATTTGACCCTAGTTGCACTTTATTAACTTGGATATATTATATCTTTGAAATTTGGCAGCACAGGAAATAACCAGCATCAAGGATAAATATGAAGAATACCTTGCCATAGAAAAAGAAAATATAGATATTAATAAACGCGTTCGCGGTGAAGTTAGTCGATATCAACGTAAAGTTAAAGGTTTTGATGATACCAATGATTCTAATGATTATACGGTTGTCTTTGAAAATGTCATCGGAGCTTATATGAATCATAATCGAGACGTGGATTATCATCCGGCTCTTGTTCACTTATGCGCACCATTTGTCTATTGTATAAAGAATGAATGTGAGGTATACTATTGTTTTGCAAGGCTCATGTCTATGCTAGGTAAAACCTAACAAAAATCTATTTTTGCTTTTTTCTTCCTTTTGTTTTTTTTTTATCTTAAAAACAAATTTTTTTAATAATAATTCTTTTGATACTAGATGAATATAATTTAACTCACAGCAACATAAATGAGCGTGTTGCCAATTTCATGACATTGTTTAGATCCGTCAATCCTGACTTGTAAACTTTTATTCTTTGATATTATGATAGACATGTTTTATAGCTCTGTAATCATAAATTAATTTTTTGATATGATGTTTGATATTTCTAGATGTAATTATTTTGAAGAGGAGGAAGTTGATATTAATGAATGGGCTTCGTCATGGTTACAGAATTTATTGGCAAAAGAACTTCAATTCGAAGATTTATTGAGACTATGGGGTAAGTTATCATATGAAAAGCGATGTAGTGAGGTGATGAACTCATTACATAGTAGAATGCATTATTTTCCATTTTATTTATTTATTTTTTTTCTTACTACCATTAACTAAAAAAAAAATCAATAAATTTTTGTATTTAGATACATATTTTTCTATCGAAAATCCTATGGAATTTCATCCTTATGTGTGTTTAGGTATGGTATGTTACATGCTATCTTTTTTAGTTGTTTTGAGATTTGAAATCAAACAAACATAAATCTCTATTTTTAATATTTGGTAGCATTGCTAAAACACACTAGGGAGAATCTTGAAGAGTTGGAACAATCAGAAATCCAAATAATGTTATTGAGATTGCCCTCGTTGGATATGGAACAAGTACGTAACATACATATATAACTTCTGAGTTCTTATTTGTAAAGACAAATTTAGTACTAAATTTTTTTTTTGATTAGATCATTAATCAAGCTTTTAGTATTTATCACGAGATGTTAGAAAGACAAATTTCTGATTTCTGATTCTCTTTAAAATATGCAAAGCAACTTTCAAATAAAAAAAAAATAATATATATACATATAATACATATAAAAAGTAAAAAGTAGAGCATATTAATATAACTTTGCATTATTATTTTAGTTTTGTGATCTTATTTTTATTTATTTATTTACATTTCATTATTTATCATTATTATTATTATATTTAATAGATATTACAAAAAGTAAGCAAAAAAAAAATATTTAATAATGATAATGCTCATTCATTTCATCAGATTTTTTTTTTTAAAAAAAACAAAAAACCTACCAAAACAAAATTTTAATAATTTATAATAGAATATAGATTTTAATTTATATATATATATATATTATATTTTTTTTATAATAAGATCCGACATTGGCAAGAAAAGCCCATTTTTTCGGAATGTTTATTTATAGTATATTCTTGGCAATTTTTTGTTACACAAAATATTGTCGCCAAAAATATATGAATAATTTTCTGGATAGAATTTTCCTCCTATATTTAATTTGGATAATTAATGATATACTTTTCGGCAAAATATTAAATTAAAGATTGTGAAACGCCCAAAATAAATAAAGGGTATCGGATTTCTGGCCAAGCAATCTGAGCTAGTAGGGTTGTTTCCTATAAAGAATAACCTTTCCCTTTTTTTTATTATTTTACCAAAATTTTTTTTTTTTTTTTTTTTTTTGTTTTAAAATGTCTCAACAGCAACCGTCTGGTTGGAATAACTATTTTCATAAAGATCAAGGTTATGATACCACCTATAACAATAATAATAATACGCAAGCTATGCAAGAACCCACGAGATTGTCATTTTTTCCACGTAAACAAGAACAAGAATATAATAATAATGGAGAAACGCGTGAGGTAATTAGTGATGTAGAGAAAGTAGGTCATAATAATCCAGGAGACCCCTCCTTTTGGAAATCACCAGGAAGTGAACATAGTCCAGAAGGAAGAGGAGAGGTTGTTATACCAAGTGCACCACCAGAATCACCTCGTGGCAATGTTACCTTTGAAAGAGAAAGGGGATTGGAAAGCGATGAAGAACTCGCAAGAAGGTTATATAGAGAAGAGCAAGAGCAATATATGAGATATAGC